AAATAAATAAAATATTTAATATTTTTTGTAATTAAATATGGGTTTAGATACATAAATAAGTAGTCATAAATTTCATTTAAACATAAAAAATCGTTTTAGACACAAAACAGTATTTTGGGGTTTTGTTTTTTCATCTAGATAGAAACTTCACTAAGTCTATATATTTTATATTTCAAAACGGTTAAAACATTTTTTGAATTTTCTCATTTTTTAATGTAATATTAAGTTTTTCATATTTTATCTCTAAATAAATTTCATCAATATTTATATTTGCAAGTAACCCATTTATTAAGAAAAATAAGATTGTTATGGTAGGACTATTTCAATATAAAATTGTAATCATTTTAGAAAATAAAATAGTGAATTAAATAGGATTTTTTAATTTCAAAGAGAGGTTGGATCAAACAAATACATAGAAGAATTTTAATTAGTATGAAATTTATTTTTTATAATGAAAGAAATGAAAAATCTTTGTCATAACCTTTGTCTCTTTCATCATGAATTATTGAAATGAAACTTTCAATTTGAAAAGAAAAAGGTAAAAAGGTTAGGGGATAAAAGTCTCATGCATCAAAAGCCTAATATGAAGTTGGGTGGTGGAGTTGTGACTCTTAACCTTTCTTTCTTTTAATGTTTAAAGAAGCATCCAATGGAAACTCTCTTTCTTCATTTATGGCACTTTGGTGTAGATTGTGTTATCAAAAAAGAAGTTATATGCATTAATTTCTGAAACATAAATTTTTATTGAATTTTATATTACATATGAATTAATTTTATTAACTTTTGTTTATAATCTTTAATAGTAGTTATCGTAAGTAAATAAGATCTGTGTAATTTTGAACTTTTTAATAAATTTTAATCATTAAAATAATATATATTTAATATTTTAATTTAACCCCTAAAATTACTAAATGCATCACATTATGGAAAGCAGTAAGAGAAAACTATTTTTACCTATAAATTATTAAAAAAAGTACACAAAAATATATAAAATGCAATATAATCTTACCAAAAAAATAGTTTTTATAATATTTCTCAACTAAATTCTTTTATTCTTATGATATTCTCGTTCTCTCTTTATATGAAAATAAAATTATCATTCATATTGCAAATGCAACGATCAAATATTAATTTTTAAAAAATATTTGAATTGATTATTCTTTATATAAAAAATTATAACACTATATATATATATATATATATATATATATATATATATATATCTTAATATAAAAATAATTCACATAATTAATATTAATATAAAAAACATTTTAATTAAATATTAATAATTTATTTTATCAAAAATAAGTATTATTGGCATAAAAGAAATATTTTACAAATATTTTATATTTGTCTTCACGTATAAATTATATTATTTAAACAAGTTGTAGTTTTTCTCTAACATCATTCACATAAATTTTAATCAAATCAAATTAAATAATAAATATTACTTTAACAACATAATGTTTCTATCAATTTAATTCAAAAATTACAAAACACACCAAAGGATGAGAAGGATCATAAATTTGATCCAATTTGCAACCGTCCTCCTAATTATAAATATGAAAAATATTAATAATGAAAACTCAATATATATATATATATATATATATATATATATATATATATCACAAATATGAGAATATGATATTTGATATCAATTTTTCATGAAATAAAATAAAATAAAATTTATGTTTTTACATTTTTTTTATTTAAAATAAATAAATAAAATATTACACACTCCAAACATAACCAATAATAAATGCACGTAAATATGAACAGACTTAATAAATTATTTACTCTACTATAATTATTAAAATAATAATTTTTTTATCGATTTAAATTTTAAACAACATAAAGTGTTTTATATTTACAAAAATTATTATTACATCATTTAATAGTTGAATTATAATCAATAATAATAATAATAAAATATTTTTATTATTTTTGAATTTAATATACGATACAATCATAAAAAATTGATCTTCTAAAACTTGTTGTAACTCATTATAAATCCATCAACAAAGCAAAGAAAAAGGATTAAAATAGAATAATTTCTGAATAATTAACTATATCATATATGTCAATATCAATAATTATTTATTTTCTCGATCAATAGTTTATTGTTAGAAAATCACATGAACAATTGTTTGGAATCTTAAATTAAATTAATAGACACGATAATTTAATATAATCATATATCTTGTATGGGATAGGTCTCTATTGTATAGATAAAATGTGTCATTTTTTTTAATACAAATTTAAATCTTGGATGAGAAAGATTTTTTTTTATTTTAAGAATGTTATTTTGTATTTATTTTAGCTAGTTATACTGTAGTTAGATAAATATTTGATAGACAAGTGAAAGATATGATGGTGACGTAGAATTTGCTAAAAATTATTATCATACAATAGAAAAATTTATATCCATATGTAAAGTTATTAAATTAAACGTGAGTATATGTTGTAAAAAAAATAGGAATTATTGCACATGTGATTAATTGAGTTTGAGTCTTTAGTACATTAAAGTTAATGTAAATAAATATGATTAATTGATGACAAGATAGAGCACTTAATTGATGTAGAGATCTTAAATCAAACAAATTAGACAGATTATTATCTTCAAGATATAATAGTTTTCCATAATTATGATTAAGCTTAAAAAGAAATTAAGAATAGACATTTCTAACTTGATACGATAATAACAACATTAAAATCGAACCCATACATTTAATTATGATTAACAACTTTATTATTATTATTATTATTATTATTATTATTATTATTATTATTATTATTATTATTATTATTATTATTATATATATATATATATATATATATATATATGAAAAACAAACACAATATTATAATATCTTTTAAATTTTTTAACGTGCCATTAGTAGACATTCGTAATTGTGTTTCACACCCTGATAATTATAAAACTTTAAGCTTCTTAATATTTTTAAAGAGTTTTATGATATTTTTAACCGACATATATATATATATATATATATATATATATATATCTTTTTTTTCTTTTTTTTTTAAATACAGATTAACATTCACGCTATTCTTATAATGAAACAATCAATATCACTGATTTCATTTAGTTATTAATATGATAATAGCAATGAGTTTATGCCATAATTTATTTATTTATTATGGTAAACGTATCTATTTAAGCAATACATATACCAAGAATCCAAGTGGGGTTGAGATATTTAAATTTAGAAGATATTAGGATTCTAACACCTTGAATACATACACACCTTGAATAATAGTAATGAAGATCAATCTTATACTTCATAAAGGTTTTGCAAAAGAAAAAACTCTTCATTCAACTTTTAAAAACTTGTGACACTAGTCATAATCAACCAATATCACAATTTCTAACTAAAATTGATAGAATAATGTAAAATTCAATGGGTTTGAATTTTTGAAAGATAAAGGAAGAAAAAAAAAAAAGGAAGATTAGAAGTAATATCTTTGAGACATATGAATGGATAGTAAAATGATAGTTGTATTTATATTTAAAGATAATTACAAATGAATTTATGAGTATCTTGAGAAAGAATTAATAGATAGTACAAAATAAAATATTAAGTGACTCTTGTTTATGAATAATGTCCTTTCTCAAAACATATGTGTGTGAAATACAATAATTGTATTTAATGAAAAGTCACATCATTTATCTATTTTATTTTTTCATCAATAATTATATCATTTTAATTTGTGTCACACATATATATATATATATATATATATATATATATATATATATATATATATATATATATATATATATATATAAAACTTGTGTAGAGCATGAATCTCTAACTATTTTAATTAATATTTGTATATGTGATTGAATTTTATAAATAATTGTGTCATTTTACTGTATATTCACCGAAGAAAATATTATTGATTTACATGTTTATTATAAATTTCGTGAGATTTTCTAATAAGTGGATTTAATTTAAAAGAAAAACTTCATCAATGAATGAATTCAATTCATCTACTTAGTTAAAAAAATAAAAGATAAACTTTCATACATCTACCCAAGTGTAATAATGATATCATAAATATCTAAAGAAAAAAGTATTTTAAAAAATTATCTCTTTTTAAATTAAATATATAATATTTAAGATTAGGATACATATTAAAATAAATATTATTTTTTTATTATTTTTAATAAATTTATTAATTTTTTATTAATCTCTTTATCATTTTCATATATTTTTTTCAACCAAAATACTTTAAATAATGTATTATTATTATTATTCTATATAATAAATATAATTAAAAACATAAATGTAATTAGTAAAAAAATAATTAATATAATTTTAAATTTTATATACGTCACGAAATAAGTTTTCTTACCTAAAACTTTGTATGTTTAAAATGGTGAGAGTATTTTCATGGAAGTAAATTAAATTATAACAATATTTATCTGTTGAGATGAACAGAGTACAAATGTGAAGACAAAATGACAAAGTAATTTAAGACTCGTCTTAGACCATGGCATTGTAATGCACCTTCAAATCTTTTCAAAATCTTATTTCTTTCTAGTGTCCATTTATATCCTTTTCCTTTCCTTTTATTTCTCTATCTACTTGGTCAGTAGCAACTGGCAAGTTGCCGCAGGACATGTATTTCCCCCTTACATAAACACCACTTCCAGTGAAAGGCCTTAGCTTAACTCTTAGACTCCTTCCCTACACTTTCATGCATAAGGGGAACCTCTTCATTTGACCCTTACTTTATCATCCACTTCACCATTTGATTTGCTGGCACCTTCTGCTTCACGGGTTTCCTTCTCACTCTACAACATGCACTTCTCTTCCATCACCATGTGCATCACTTTTTTTTTCTTTCTCTCCCCAGTTTGAGTCTTTACTATATTTGCTTATTTTCCAGGGGCTGAAAAAAAAATGGGAGAAATTGCTTTGTTCTCTGTGTAGAGTTTGGCAGAGAAAGATAAATTTTTTTAGTTCTTTATAATGCCAGTTCCACTTGCCCCCTACCCAACACCACCAGCTCCTTATACACCACCAGCTAATGGTATCTTATCTGCCTTTCTCTCTTCTTAACTGCTTGTCAAGAAATTTTGGCATCATCTCATTGCTTTGTGGTGATGGAATGATTGGAAATTTAATTCCTCTTTCCCATTGACTAAAAGGAGAAATGATGGATTAGATATGAAGATTTTTAAGTGAGATTCCTCTGAGACTCTGATTTGGGTGGAATGTGTAGATTTGAGATGGCTGATGATATGCTTTTTTTAATTTTTGTTTTCTGAAATACTCTTATTTTTCATCTGGCGTGGCTTATGATTTGTATATTGAACCTATCTTTGAGATAGATGGAATGCTAGAGTCCTTAGTGTGTTATTACTACTTGTTTGATACTTGAAATTATTTATATATGAAATTGTTCTTGACGGCCAGGCGCACAGAGTCAACTTGTCTGTTCTGGGTGTAGAAACCTTCTCATGTATCCAGTTGGAGCCACCTCTGTGTGCTGTGCTGTTTGCAATGCAGTCACAGCAGTGCCACCTCCTGGTATGATGCAGTTTCTTCTCACTAACTCTATTACTCTTTACATAATTCCCCTGGTGTGTAGGTTATTTGAAAGTTCTGTGATTTCAATCAACTGATCATGAGGTAGCTCAATCACAAACACTTACGTGTGACAGGCACAGAAATGGCCCAGTTAGTTTGTGGAGGTTGCCATACTTTACTCATGTACATCCGTGGAGCGACAAATGTGCAATGTTCTTGTTGTCACACAGTCAATCTAGCTTTGGAAGGTATTTTACTATCAATGGTCTGTCTCATGTTTATAGAATTGTGTGTGCATGATGGACAGAATTTAGGACATGTTCTCTTCTGAGCTAAATCATAGTGGTTTAAGTCCCTATTTTGTGGGTAAGCATCAAGCGTTATTAAATTGTATCGTGACAGCGAATCAGGTGGCACATGTCAACTGCGGGAACTGCAGGATGCTACTGATGTACCAATATGGAGCAAGATCGGTGAAGTGTGCAGTTTGCAATTTTGTAACATCAGTTGGGGCCAGTGTAAGTGTAATCTCTTGTCCCTCCCTAAGTTGATTTTCTTCGAACTTTCTTTAGTCTCAATCTTGTTGAGAACGATCCCTGAAAGCGTGTGCGTGTGTATCAGAAGAACAAATACCTTTTCCTCTTTTCGTTTTGGATCAGTAGAGATAGACTTTTTCTTTTTAATTGGTTGCAAATCATATCAAGTTTTTGTCTTGTTTTATTTACTTAATAAATGGAAGTAATGAAAATAGATAGAAATTCTCCCATTTGAGAAGTGTTTTTATGGATGAGCAAAACGAAATTTTTTTATATAACCAAATGATTTACTCTAGTGTTTCTAAATGATGCAGGCCACAACAAGCACCACGGAGCAGAAGTTCAGCAGTGTAACCATACAATAGGAAGGTCATTATAGACTCTACAACCTTGGTTTTGCTAGTTACATATCGCCCTTAAGGAATAAAGAGATATCAGATTGAGAGGAACTCTTTTCACATGTATAGAGTTATTTTTCCCTTGCGTGATTGTATTAAATATTTTTGTTAGATTGGGTGTATGAAAAACTATCTATGATAAATTTTCAGTTTGAGTGTTTTGAAAATTCCCATATTTGGATTGGGTGTAAAGTTTATTTTCAGCTGTAGATAATATGTATACTTGAAGAAATATATGCACAAAAAGAAAGTAATTGACAGAACCCTCGCAATCACAAAATAAGTGGTTGAGAAATGTTTAGAACGGGTTTAAATCAATAGATGAGATGACAAAATCTCAACTATCCATTTACTTTTCTGTGCATATAGGATTTATTTATATTTATATATATGGAGCACCAAACAGCATTAATTTCTTTGGGATACTTTGTGACTTCTGAATCAGAAAAGGTCCAAGTACGGCCACAAAAGGTAAGCAGACAGTTGAAAAACTTGATGGCATATTCAACAAGATAACATCTGGGTCCAAAATTCTCATTTAGATATTTCAGAATGAAATTGAGGTGAGAATTCCTCAGCCTAAGGAGCATTTATTCCATGGTTTCACATTGCTGATTTTGACTTTGTATTACTAACTTCACGGTCTTCGACTTGGACAAACCTTGCTGTTCAAGGATCGGATACATCATCAAAATCTCACAGTGCTAGCAACATACTTTTTATTCAAGTTAGAATTTATTGAAAACTATCATCTTTTGATGTTTTAGTATTTTATTTTTTACTCCAAAACAATTGATGTTTTAGAGTTTTAAAATCTATTCCTTTTTTCTCAATCATACCCCAACTTATATCTACTATGGTTGAATAAGGCCTTTTTGTTTTAATTTTCATGCATTAGATATTTCTTAATCCATGTGTATTGATGATAAACATCTGAAGATATGAGAATGATATAACACACAATTATTTGTGAAATTCATAAAATAAAAGTGAGATTCACAAATTTTATATTAAATACAAATTTTAGGATAGAAAGTGGGTTCAAAAGAGAGCATTTTTAACAAATTTCAAATGTGTATATGACTAAACTCTTAACTCACACCTTTTGGGTTTGACAATTAGGCGACAACTTTTTCTGGATACTATCATTTATCCTTGTGGTTTGGAAATGGCAGCGTGCTTATAATTTTCACAGAAGGAGGGGCAGGTCATGAAAACAGAAAAAATTAAATTGTAGTTTTGGTATGTGCAGTGAACAAAAACAAAATGTTGCAGTTAAAAAATGCAGACAGGATTGGGGAAACACCAAGCAAACATTCGATTGTTTAACACAGTTAATGTCCTTATCGACCTCAACTCTGCCCTGTGTTCCACTTAGCACTAGGAGTTGGCAAAAAACACAGTGAGTGAATGACATGGACATATCTTCTTACATTTTCAAGCATGGCCCTTTGATGTTGGCCAATGTTCCCTACTCTCTTGTTTATGTCAACCGTGCCGTTATCAGCACTCCAGAGCATATTTTGATTCCAATCATTTTGTATGTCATGTTCAATAGAAAATCACCCTTGTGTACAAGGCCAGAGTCATTTAAAGTTCAAAAGATATTTGGCTGTAACTGTCTCCCTTGAACTTGAATCCTAAGCCAGTTAGCCATTTCCTTAGACCTGCTGCTAATAGCAAATAGTAATATCACAACAAGTGGCTGTGAATGCTGGGAGTACTGAACTAGTCTTTGTCAATCTGGACGATATTGTTTATACATAGAAGTTTCTCATTTTATACTTTTCACCGTTATCTCTTTCTTTCCTCCTTGGTCGTGCATTTATCACTGTCAACTTTTGCACATTCCTCCTTGTGACTTGCCCTTTATATCCAAATGAGACAAATTGATCCACATAACCAGTCTTGGCTGAATTCAGAGTTACCAAGTTGGTGAGAAGCATGTATTTGACATTGGTTAGAGAGTACAACTAATAGCACCAAAGAATCAATATCACAGTCCAGGCTTGATAACTAAGATTGGCTTCTTCATCATAACATTGCTTCACCAATTTTAACATTGCTTCATCATAACTACCTTTTCCTAATAATAATTTGTTATATCAATTTTCCATGCACGAGCATCCTTTCTTCACATTCAAGGCATGTGGGACCGTGAGGTAATAGTTAAGCAATGGACCACAATGGTATATTCTTCTTCTGATTCTGCATTATTTCATCAACATCATGCCACTTTTTCTTCTTGAAGGACCAAAACAAATGTTGATATTTCTATCATGGAGCCCAACCGAATGAAATTAAACGGTAAATCCAATCTTCTTTATTCGTGGGTTTATCACTATTCCCAAATGACAAAATCAAGGTATACGTTATCCTGATGCTGCATTATTTCATCTACGTTATTTCTTCTTCAGCTGGTCCATCACCATAGGGCATAATTATATCATGGAGCCCAATTGGGATCAAAAGACAGATTGCAATCCCAATCCTTTTAAATGTTTCTATTCTATCGCTATTCTAAATTGACAGAACAGAACAATGTTAAGTAAATTATTCTTTTGAGTTTTGTTTTTTCAAAATTCAATCCCGGCCCATTGCCCAATTCTGTGGAGTCCATAAGTAATCTTACAAAAAGTGTTACTATTTTTTTTTTTTTTTTTTTACATTTCTCGATAGTGCCATTTAGTTGGAAGAAAAGCGTCAGAAGTTTTTAAAATACTTTTTAGTTAATCATTGGTTGAAGAGGGAAAATTCAAAAGTAATAATAAGTAGTTGCAAAACTAGGCAAAACATTCTTCGGGTTTCTCTTTTTCCAAGTTCTTCCATTAAAAATTGTCATACTCTAAAAATGGAAAATGATTATTTGGATTTCATTAAAGAAAAAAAGAAAAACATTCGAACTGACCATGATTGTTACTAGACGGGTAAAGGTCGAAAAAAAATCAGTAGATCTATTTTGAATATTAATTTTATCTTCTACTGACTTTATCTTTCAAAAAGAGAGATCCATTTTTTTTTCTGACGTCCACAATTGAAAATTTAACATTAGTCTAAAAGATGGAATTTTGGTGTAGTCTAATTATCCTGTTGTATTCATAGGAGAGGATGGAACAACTTAGACACTTGATTTTAGTGGTTTTTTTTTAAGGGTATCAAAATAAATTTATTTTGATAGATCAATTTAAAATATTTAAAAAATAATTCTAAATATATTAAAAAATTTGTAAGTTAAATTGAATTGAATTTATTTATTTTATTTCGTTATTTATATGAATTTATTTATTTAAATGGTGATTTATATGGATTTATACCAAATTAACATATAGATTATAAATTGATCGGTTTTATAAAATTATAATTATTTTTAAAATAAAGAATAATTCTTCTGACACAAAGGTTTAATACAAGAGCATCATTAAAAAAAATTGTAATACATCCATCTACCCAAAAACAACATTTTAATCATCATTAATAAATGCAAAATTTGCATGTAATATGATACCATTTTCTATCTATCCTCCTATGATGATAACCTAAGGCACTAACAACATCTTAATCCTTAATTCCATCACAAATTTAATCTTATACAACTAGAATCTTCGGTTGCACACCTCTATTTGGCACCAACACCCAATCATAAAACCTACACCTCCAAATCAAACTCCAATCACACAGGTTGGCAAAAAAAAAACTTTGGGTTTAAAAAGTCACGAAGTACATATAAATGTCAGTGAAGCTCACAATTTCATACATTATCAATGGTTGCAAATACCTTCTTTCTTATTTAATGACTATTGAAAGATTTCATAATTGGTTTCATAGACTTAACTATAAGTATGTGTCCCTATCAATGAGTTGCCATGACTAGGGATCACAACGGGTCAGGGCAACTACGTATCCCGCCTTGGCAGAAAAAAATAAAATAAAAATCGTACCTTATTACTCGACAAGTATTCGTTTACAAAACAGGCATTTTTATACCCGCAAGTATCATGAATACCTACACATATTTTTGTTTTAAATATTATTATTGAAAAAAATATTATTTAAAATATATTTTAATAATTTTTTCTTAGAAAATATAATTTACATAAAGTTAAATCATAAAATATTAATATAAATAAAATTTTTCTTTATAAAATATTAATTCTAATAAATTATAATATAAAGAATAATTTCAATAATATTATTTAAAAAATAATAACTTTAATTTAATAAATTTAGATAAAAAATATAAATCTATAAATTCTAATTTTAAATATTTCTTCAATAATTATTATTTTTCTCATCCATAACTTGATTTTGATAATTTTATTTTAAAAATATTAAATAAAATTTTTTAGTGGATAACATGTATTTCCTAGTTGGATACCACAACACTTGTCCCATTATCAAACAAATAATTAAAATACCCATCCCCATTACCTCCAATTATCCATTTAATTTAACATATTTGTTTAATATTTGTGACGGATTTTACCCGCAAATATCTCCGTATACAGATTTTTGTCATCCCGCAAAAATCACAATGCTAAAATAAAGGCATAAGAACAAATGTTGTTGACTCCCTCACCATAGCTTCCTAAATCAAGTTTCTTTTTTTCTCCATTTATCAAAAGGGAACATCCTTTCAAATTTCCTTTCTCTTGATTAAGCTTTTTTCATGATAGAAAGGTGTTGAGGTGTAAAGATCGGTCAAAGATAGGGAACTTCCTCGTAAGTTCCTGGTCAAAGGAAGGCTACTTCCTTGCAACTTCCTGGTCAAAGGAAGGGAGCTTCCTCTCAACTTCCTCTCAAGAAGGATTTGTTTGGCTATAAATACCTCATTTTGTAACCTCATTTGTATCCAATCCAAGTGTGAAGAAAGAGTAGAGAGAGTGTATTCATACGGGCTTGTGTGAATTGTAACATTCGGTTTATCCTCTTATTCTAGTTCATTCTCCTGGCTTGGTTCGCCCCCAGAT